AGGGTGGGATTAAATTATGGGGAATCAAATACAAAATGGGAGTTGACACAGTTATTTTTTGCTGATGATACTGTGCTTTTGGGGGATTTTAACCCTTTGACTATCACGGCCGTATATATACGTCTTACGAGGTACCGTGTTTGACGTGTATATACTCATAAATTCTAGCGGCTTCAAATCAAGCAGGAGAAAACTGGTAGGCCCACATGTGAGAGAATGGGTCTGTGTGGTCAGTGTGCACCATATAAAAAAAAAATCCTGGAGCACGCAGTGCATAATGAGAAAAAAAAAACTCCGACCATTTTTTTTAATTAAAATGCCGACTTTGTGGTCTATTTTCGTATAGTATTTATTGTTGTATTCTCGTTTTCTTGGTCTCATTTGATAGAATGGAAAACATATTATAGACATAGAGGTGATTTTGATTGATTTTACTATAAAAAGAACCTAGAAATGGAGCTCAAAGTTGGGTAAATTTTGATTTTTGCCAATGTTCAAAAGTAAACAAATGATGCCATTGTCCAATAAATGTCCAACTAGCTATTCTAATATGCAGTCATGAATGGGTTGATGTTATTTATACAATTATTACAGTATTGCAGTAGTCTGCATAATAGTAAGTCTTCTGTTTTTTGTTTGAATAAAAATTCAAAATAGAAAGCAAGAGTAATATTAGAGGGGCCTGGAGACATGACTGATGAGCAAAGAAAATGTTATTTTAGAGCCAGGAATGTCTGCATTGTTCATTCTGGACCTTATTTTGAAATTGTCATATTTTTTAGTTTTCGTGAAATTGGCCATATTGCAAATTTCTGACCACATTATTAGGTAGTTGAAATTGGTAAATGGGCAGTTTCTTGTACTCAATCGATAGAAAAAATAGAGTTCTAAAGAAATAGCTATGAGTTTGGGCGACTGGAATAATGGAATTAGCTGAAAATAGGGCTCAAAGTGGGCGAAATCACCGATTTGTAAACAGCGCTGAGGTCGCTAACTTCGCGAGAACATAATTCCGTCAGTTTTCCATCAAATTTCGTTTTTTTGGTGTCATTACAATCGGGAAAAGATTCTCTATCATTTCATAAGAAAAAATAATTTTTTTTTTTTTTTTTTTGAAATTTTGCGACACCAGGAGTCACCTCAGGATTGGGGGTTGCGACACTCAAAGGGTTAAAGAAAAGTTGCAAAGGTTAGTGGACGAGTTTAAGAGTGTGTGTAAAAGTAGAAAGTTGAAAGTGAATATAAATAAGAGTAAGGTGATGAGGGTATCAAATGGTTTAGAGAAAGAAAAATTGATTATCACATTGGAGGAGGGAGTATGGAAGAAGTGAATGTTTTCAGATATTTGGGAGTTGACTTGTCAGTTGATGGGTTTATGAAGAATGAGGTAAACCATAGAATTGATGAAGTAAAAAAGGTGAGTGGTGCATTGACGTGTCTGTGGAGTCAAAGAACATTGTCCATGGAGGCAAAAAAAGGGAGTGTATGAGAGTATAGTGGTACCAACAGTCTTATATGGGTGTGAAGCATGGGTTGCAAATGCAAATGCTGAAGCGAGGAGGCGGCTGGAGGCAGTGGAGATGTCGTGTCTAAGGGCAATGTGTGGTGTAAATATTATGCAGAGAATTTGTAGTGTGGAAATTAGGAGGAGGTGTGGAGTTACTAAAAGTATTAGTCAGAGGGCTGAAGAAGGGTTGTTGAGGTGGTTTGGTCATTTAGAGAGAATGGAACAAAGTAGAATTAATTGGACAGGGTATAAATCTATAGGTGTGAGTGAAGTGAAAGTGTTGAATGATGATGAAAGTATTTTCATTTTGGGGATTTTCTTTCTTTTTGGGTCACCCTGCCTCAGTGTGAGACAGCCGACTTGTTAAAAAAAAAAAAATCTATTGGGGAGGGAAGGCAGGGTAGGGGTTGTCCCCTTAAAGGTTTCAGGGAGGGGGTAAAGGAAGTTTTGTGGGTGAGGGGCAAGCATGCGTGAGCATGTTAGATAGGAGTGAATGGAGACAAATGGTTTTTGGGACCTGATAAGCTGTTGGAGTGTGGGCAGGGTAATATTTTGTGAAGGGATTCAGGGAAACTGGTTAGCCTCACTTGAGTCTTGAAAATGGGAAGTATACAGTGCCTGCACTTTAACCCTTTGAGGGTCGACAGGCCCTCTCCGAAACTCGTTCTCAGGGTCGGCCAAATTTAAAAAATAAAAAAAATTATTTTCTCTTATGAAATGATAGAGAATCTTTTCCCGATCATAAAGACAACAAAAGTTTGAAATTTGATAGAAAACTTACGGAATTATGCTCTCGCTAAGTTAGCGGTCTCGGCGATGTTTACGCATCGGCGATTTTGCCCACTTTGAGCCCTATTTTCGGCCAATTTCACTGTACTAGTCGACAAAAAACATGAATATTTCGCTAGAACTCTCCATTTTGTCTATCGAATGGGTGCAAGAAACCACCCATTTATGAAATTCAACTATCCAGTACAGTGGTCAGAATTTAGCAATTTGCCAATTTCACAAAAATTTCAAAAGATGCCAATTTCCGAATAGGGTCCAGAATAAACAAGAAAGACATTCCTGGCACTAAAATGACATTTCCTCTAGTCATTAGTCATGTCTCAAGGCCCCTCTTATATTCTTTTGCTTTCCACTTTGAATTTTTATTTTCACAAAAAATATAAAGATTTACTGTTATGCAGACTACTGCATTAGTGTAAAAATGGAAAAAAATTTTTATTGTGCATTTGTGAAAGAAAAATTTTAACTCACCAGTTGACGTGTTTTGGGACGCTTGGCACGATTTGTTTACTTTGAAGTTTGGTAAAAAATCGAACATTTCTGCTACTTTGAGCTCAATTTCAAGGCCCCTTTTCATTGTAAAACCAGTCAAAATCATCTAAATTTCTGAAATATGTCTTCCATTCTAAAAAATTTGAGACCAAGAAAAATTAGAATACAACAAAAAAATACCATACAAAAATTTACACTGCAAAGTCGCTGATTTATTAAAAAAAAAATGGTCAAATTTTTTTTTCTCATTATGCACTGTGTGCTGCAGGATTTTTTTTAGACTGTGCACACTGACCACATAGACCCATTCTTTCATACGAAGGCCTACCAGCTTTCTCCCACTAGATTTGAGGCCGCTAGAATTTATGAGTACTAGTACGTCAAAAAACCCTACGCGTAAGACGTACTAGTACGACCAAAACCCTCAAAGGGTTAAAGGAGGGGTTTAGGATATTGGTAGTTTGGAGGACATCTAAACTTTCATTTCTGAGTGCCTCTGCAAAGATAGTGATTATGTATGAGTAATGGTGAAAGTGTTGAATGATGAAAGGTTTTTCTTTATTTTTGGGTCACCCTGCCTCGGTGGGAAATGGCTGACATGTTAAAAAAAAATAACAGGTTGATTTTTTATCTTACATAATGAGAGGAATTGGGCTATTATGTTTTCTCATATCATTTCTTTTGTATTTTATATTCTCAAATGTGGCTATCAAGGACTCTCTTTCTCCTTTCAGCCTGTCAGCATATCACATGCCATCAGCCTTTTTTCATATCATTGTCATTCATTCAATTTTTCTAGCTTAAATTTACATGTTTGTTTAAGTGTGGGCACCATACCACCACTGCATATTAAAGTTTTGGTCTGATTTATGTTGTGAATGATTTCTTCAGCATTTTGTATCCGTATAATTCAGTGCTATGTTAAAGATGGCCAGTAGACGTTCTCATTGTCTTATTTGGGATTTTTCTGGTTATAATCTATTGTCAGTGGCAATTCCTAGGCTCCTTTCCTTGTCTGATGCCTTTAGTGTTTCATTAAAGTATAAAGCTTCTATTCTGTTTTAAAACTGTTTTCACTTCCTCTGATTTCTGCTATATATTATATTCCATAATCTGTCTCTCATTCCACTTGCACAATCTGTCTAAGTCTTCCTGTAGAGATACAGTCACTTTTATTGTTTATCTTGCATAGGATTTTTGCATAATCTGCAAATGTGTGTTTTGTTTTTTTTCTCAACAAGTCGGCCATCTCCCACCAAGGCAGGGTGACCCAAACAGAAAATACTTAAATCATCATTCAACACTTTCACCTTGCTCATACATAATCAGTGTCTTTGCAGAGGTGCTCGGATACGACGATTTAGAAGTCCCTCCAAACTGTCAATATCCCAAACTCTTCCTTTAAAGTGCAAGCATTGTACTTCCCATTTCCAGGACTCAAGTCTGGCTAACCAGTTTCCCTAAATCCCTTCACTAAAGTTTACCCTGCTCACACTCCAACAGCTCGTCCGGTCCCAAAAACCATTCGTCTCCATTCACTCCCATCTAACACACTCACATACGCTTGCTGGAAGTCCAAGACCCTCACCCACAAAGCCTCCTTTAGCCCCTCCCTCCAACCTTTTTGAGGACGACCCCTACCCCTCCTTTCTTCTCCTACAGATTTATATGCTCTCCATGTCATTCTACTTTGATACATTCTCTCTAAATGACCAAACCACCTCAACAACCCCTCCTCATTCCTCTTCACTAATACTTTTAGTAACTCCACACTTCCTAATTTCCACACTCCGAATTCTCTGCATAATATTTACACCACACATTGCCCTTATGGTTCTTAATTCCTTTGGGAAAAACAAAAAGACATGTTGCAGTGTGGTTTGCAACAATGTGTTTTCTTCTTCACTATTTCCAGCAATATGTCATTTGGATCAATCCCATGGGGACATTTAACTTTATATTCTTATTCACATTTTCCTTTCAAACAGGAAGTCTCTTGTCCATTGTAATGGTTTGCCTTTTATACCTCCCATGTTTCGTGGCATCAAAATAAATTTTTCATGAGGACTTCTTATCCAAAGTTTTTGATTGAGTGAAAGCATGAATGAGTGTGTGTGATGAATGCATAAATGATTGAGAACTTTTAGAATAATTTTCCATGCTTGCATAAGATCTACACATTATAAGAGCTCATTTTGTATTTTTTATTCAGGTTTTTTGCACTCTTTGCAAAGTACGATGGTTACAAGGATGGGCATGTGAAGTTGAAGAAGCCCAAGCAATTGCAGGAGGTATTAGACATTGCCCGAGGACTCTTAGCGGAGATTGAACAGAAGCGGGCAGATCCGGAGACAGAAGAGAAGAAGGGCAAGTTGGAACAACTCAAGAGTGTCCTGGAAATGTGAGTTGTGGGTTGCTTGTGAGCATGACTTGGTAGCATTGTCTGATTCACATGTAGCTTCCTCATCTGACTTGGTAGCATTGTTTGATTCACTTTTAGCATCCTTACCTCATTCTCTCTCCTTGACGTCGTATGTCCCTCAAGTCCGTGTGTAATGTCTGTACTACAGTATTTATGTTGTCATTTTTTTAATAGTACCTAATTCTTCTGAGCTGCAGCTTTATCATTCACCTACCTGCATCATCGTATTATTTGACTAGGTTCCTATTGTGAGGCTGCAAAGTGTATTAATGACCTCTATTATTTATGATTTTTCCTTTATTTTTTAAGGTCTTAATTTGTTTGGTTATGTATTAAATTATTTTAAAACACTCGTATTCCATTTTCAGTGTTGTAACATTATAATGACGGATTTTGATGCTATGTAACCTGAAGGATCACAAGAGGGTGGTAGGGTGACCTCAGGTTGTGAAGATAATATTAGGTGTGGTATTGAGCAGTGCTCTCATGTACCTCTCTACCACCTATTCTACCTCACCTTCACTTTTTACTCATGTAGTGATGCTTGTCTAGGCTCTACAACGTTCAGGACATAGTAATACAAGTTCTTTTATCTCTGGAAATATTAGCATTAATCCTAACAAAGTCCTACTCCAATTTCAAAGTTACCATAACTTCATGGTGAAAGACATGAAAATGTAGGTCTCCACTGAGGATACTGTAATTATCTTAATGTGAGGTTACCTGGCAGGTGGATTAAGCATGATGGCCTCCATCCATCCATCTATCCATCCATCCTTCTTTCTTTCCTTCCTTCCTTCCTTCCTTTCTTCCTTCATATCATTTCTTTAGACTTTTTCTGGGGGAGAGGGATTTGTGAAGGACTACGTTTTCCAGATACCAGAAGCTAACATCAAAATACTGTAATCTGTGCTGGCATCAGAAAAGTTACGTTTACATGTTGGCCAACATGTGGAGTAAGCTGGAATATCATTTAAATGAGTTACTACCCAGTACAGGTGTATATACGTTAGACAGTCATGAGGCTGTTTAAAAACACTATTGGTTTAGCTATCATATGCCAAAAACTGCATTTTCCTGTCTTATTGTTTTGTAAAAACTATTGAAATTGGGAAAGGATTTTATGGATACCTTGTATATAGTTTTTATTATTATTATTATTATTATTATTATTATTATTATTATTATTATTATTATTATGATATATTATGTTTGATGATATTATTTCACAGAAATATTGAACATTAACTATTCAAAACAATATTTGTATATGCATAAATTGTATGACATATATACATACTGTATATATAGTATATATATATATACTCACTGATTTGTATATGAGGGAGTTGAATCTGTATCTACTCTGACCAGCATTACTGATTTCTGGCATGCTAGACTTTTTCATACATCTTCTTCAAACTGTGTATTCAATTTACCTCTGCTGTCTCAACTTTTTACATCACTGTAAGATGAAAGAAATGTAATGCTTCTTAATATCATTATGGCTCATCTGTGTCTTCATTGTCCACCTGTATGCACCTATTAACCCTTTGACTGTCGCAGGCCCCTTTCTGAAACTCATTCTATGTCAATAAATTTTTGAAAAAAAAAAAAAAAAAATTTCTTATGAAATGATAGAGAATCTTTTCCCAATGGTAATGACACCAAAAGTACGAAATTTGGTCGAAAACTCACGGAATTACGCTCCTGCGAATTTAGCAGCCTCGGCGACATATAAGCATCGGCAATTTCGCCGATTTTCAGCCCTGTTTTTGGCCAATTCTGTTGTTCCAGTTGACCAAACTCATAGCTATTTCTTTAGAACTTCATTTTCTCTCTCTGTTGAGTACAAGAAACCGCCCATTTACCGATTTGAACTACCCAGTAAAGTGGTCAGAAATTGGCAATTTGGCCAATTTCACGCAACTTAAAAAAGATGCCAATTTCAAAATAGGATCCAGAATAAACAATGTATACATTCTTGGCACTAAAATAACATATCCTCTGTTCATTAATCACATCTCTAGGCCCTTCTTATATTACTATTGCTTTCTATTTTGATTTTTTATTCATACAAAAAAATACAAAATTTACTGTTATACAGACTGCTGCATTATTGTAAAAATGGTATAAATAATATCAGTGCACTAGTGAAAGAATATTAGACTCCCCAGTTGAAGTGTATTGGACGTGTGGTGTGACTCAAGAAATCGTAATGACACGATTGCAAACAAACTATGACCGCGGGTTCAATCCCGGCCGGGGGTATGGTACGTGTGGTGTGATTTGCTTACTCCTGAACATTGGTAAAAATCGAACATTTCCGCTACTTTGAGCTCAATTTCAAGGTCGTTTTCGTCGTGAAAGTTATCAAAATCATCTCTATTTCTGTAATATGTTTTCCATTTTATCACGTGAGACCATGAAAACAAGAATACAACGATAAATACTAAATGAAAATACACCTCAAAGTTGGCGTTTTAATCCAAAAAAGCGGTCTAAGTTTTTTTTTTTTTCTCATTACACACTGCGTGCTGCAGGATTTTTTTTATGTGGTGCACACTGACCACACAGACCCATTCTGGACGGGTTTCCCTGTCATATATATACGACCGAAACAGTCAAAGGGTTAATGGTTGCAGGGGTTGACCTGTGTCCTAGGTCCTTATTTTTCAAATAGTCTATCCTTACTTTCTTAATTATTTCCTCTTAAAATTGTAATTTATAATGAGCACTAGGTTATCAGGTTTAGTTCCTTCAACTTCTCTTTATAATGAATTCCTTGCAATTGATGGACTAGTCTGGTTCTTATCTTCGGTGATTTCGAGTTTCTTCGCATTTGATAACTTTCCAGGTTGTGCTAGCAAATGCAGTAAAACCTCTCATTAACGGTAGCACTAATAGGGAAGAGCGGGTGTATCTTAATGCCAATTGTCCACAACTCCCGAATTAGGAAACTAATATGTCACGATTGACCAGTTGTCTTCTGAGGTATTAGGCTTGGTCCATTGATGCAGAAGTCATCTGAACACTAAGAATACAGGTATTATAACCTATAGTACTACAGTACAGTACAGTACTGTAGTCTATATTAATTACATAGTACTCTATGTAGTTTACAGTTAATTGTACTTACCTATTTGTGGTGGAGAGATGAGGTGTAAACTGTTGTGAGTGATAGTGGTGATTCAGAATAACTTCTATTCTGGGTCAGAGGAGCTGTAAAACTCTATAGTGAAAATAATGTAGATAGTTGAGAATACTTTGATTTCTGAAATGTAGATGGCTGAGAATATGTAGATTACTGAGAAAACATAAATGGCCGAGAAGATATTGAAAAAGAAACAGTTTTAAACAATGTATCCAGCTTCAGTTGTTTATCATGTTGATGCTGGTCCCTTGTGATACATTCTCTAAGAATTCCTGTGTGTGGATAATGGTCCTTCACTTCACTTGTGTCAGAAAAGTCAGTGTACTTTATGAGAACATCAATCATATCCTGTACAGCTGACGGCTTTAATGGCCTTTCAGTCATCATCTTCATTACCCTGTTCTTTTATCCCACGTTGCTCTGTATCTTCTGCACCACTTAACATATGGTAACCAGGATCACCATCATTTTCTTTTAGCCATGCCATCATGTCTTCCTCTGTAACTTCTGTTTCTCCCTCCCTCTGAGGGGTACACTGAATACCATTGGCCTCAGACTCATCAGAGCCCAACTCTATTAATTTTTTTTTTCAATCAAACCAGCCTTATCCCACCAAGGCAGGGTGACCTAAAAAGAAAAATGAAAGTTTTTCTCTTTAAATTTAGTAACTTATACTGGAGAAGGAGTTATTAACCCCTTTCTCCTGGCATTTTAGTCATCTTTTATGACATGCATGGATTTATCAAGGCTATACAGTGGAACCTCGGTTTTCATGATTAATCCGTTCAACAAATTCTGATGAAAACTTAATCGTACAAAACGGAAGCAATATTCCCATAAGAAATAATGAAAATCCAACTAATCCGTTCCAGACACCCAAAAATATTAACAAAAAAAAAATTTATAGAGAATTTTCTCCAAGATTTGTCTCCAACTAGGACATATGAACACCGAGGTTCCACTGGATAGCCATTTTTTCCAGTCATTAGTTAATGTTGTTTTCACTGCAAGGTTGTAGATAGCAGACTACCAGTTATTCTTCTTGATGTTCTCCAATGTATATAGGCCTCTGGTGTCTCTTTCCAAATCTTCATCCTCCAGTACTTCATCTCTGTATCTAGACTGGTACAGCGTCTTGCAAGCCACAATAACCCTCTGATTCATAGGTTGGACCAGAAAGGTGGTATTAGAGGGCAGAAACATGGCCATAATTTTACCCTCTGTGCTGCTTAACTTTTCATTCCCTGGGTGAGCAGGTGCATTATCAAGCAGCAGAATAGCCTAGACATCCTTGGGATCTAGTTACAGACCTTTAGCTGGTACTTACTTCAGGGACAAAACGTGTAAAAAGCCAGTCACCAAATACATCTCTGTCAAACCAGCTTTTTTTTACCGTGTATTAATTTATTGGAATCTTATTCATGCAGACCATCAGTTTCAAACAGTGGGAACCCTCGGCACTAGCACAACATTGTACTGAGACACGGTCCTTGCAGAGCTTTCAACTTGGTACTGTATCTTCGTGCCAGAAGTCAAGTGTGTCGGAAGGCAGTGAATTCCAAAAGAGACCAGTCTCGTCAGCATTATACAATTGATATAGAAGGAGCTTCTCACAGTCTGTCAAATCATTTAACATTAATCTGAATGGCTCAACTTCATCATTGTGGGTACACTACCAGCCTCACCATAAAATTTTCATGTTACTCAAACCATGACAATTATGGAAATGTCAAAGCCAACCATCCTTTGTTTGAAATTCTACATTGAAGTGCTTTGCCAGCCTATGAACAACGGAGCAAAGATCAGTGAACATTAACACCAACAG